TGCGTTTTAAATTGATCTGGAACTATAGTGAAAACCGTTGAAGGTGAAGTGGTCAGCGAATTAGCCTCATTTCTTTTACTTTAAGTATATTGTGTAACATCATCAACCTAACCTTAATTTACTCTGATAGCTATATTTATCAATACAAATCTGCACTAATAGTTCCTACATACCGGCAAGATTAAACGTCCTTGCCGCGATTTTGTGTTATTAATCATAGGCGATTGGAACTATCCGCCCTGCGTGAGTAACAGAGTAGCTAGTTAAATTAATAACAATCACACCAAAAGTGAGATATGGTTGAAAAGCCAAAAAGTAAAAACAAAAATTAATGCTAATAATAATATTAACTAACTACATTTCCTTCCAGGTGAAATTTCTAACAGAATCTTTACTGAATTTTTTGAAAGCCGACATTTGTTCGTTTTACAAATAAAGGGACTCCTTCCAGGCTCCGAATCGATAGGGTATTATCTTCCGTTGACTCCTACGCGAGAGGTAGAAATATAGGGTCATTTGTCGGCCAATCACTTATTGTAAGTTGTGAATTAATTTTATTATCCTTAGTTATGCCACAGCATATCTACTAAGCAGCACACAGACCTCTACTGGAAAATAGAACTGTAGTTTTTTCTTACTCCTTTTAGCTTTAGAGTATTGCAAATGTAGAAAGAACAAACCTTCACCTAAAACTCAACACATTATTATTACGGTCCCACAGGTATTGATCGGCCTAACTAAATTGCGATTATAAAATAAGATCTCTGTAAATTTATAGAATCCGTCTTTTTCCGTATCTCTACTGAAAAGAAGCTCACTTACCGTATCAATCAGTTTTCATTGGTAAATTTTATAAGTAGGAAATCATAGAACTGCCCATTTCATTGTAAATTGTCAAAATAGCTATTCCGTTCCTTTTGTTCAATTCCGAAGTATATAAAAACTTTCAAAGACCAAATTTTAGGATGACCCTAGTTCGGAATTGGAATACTATTTCACTTCCTATATAATAACGATCTAATAAAATTTCCGAAGAAGCGAAATTCCGATTCTTCGGTAAGGAGGTATAAAATCGAATAATTTGTTTCATTCCATCCCGCAGGATTATTACTACAAATTGTTGTACGCTGTGGTTTAAGTTGATGGAAAAATCCGAAATGTGTTCGCTAGAAAATTTCCTCTAAGAAAATAAGAAATCAATTAATTTTAGGGTAAAATTTATTGATCAAACAGAAAGTACTCGTGGATAAACCCATATTAATAAATTTACAAGCTCGACCTCTATTGTGTAAGTATATTACAAAAAAATGGAACACTATTGTTTTTTTATGCGGAACTGTGTGAGGAATGTAAACGAATTAATTCTTTTTTCTATTTCGGTGTCACAATGATGATTTTGTACAACTGTTTTTGGCCGAAAACAGTTGTACAAAGACAGTGATTGTAGTCGTTTTTTAGCGCATTTTTGCAAAAAATTTTTTTTGTAAAAAGTAGCTTTTAATCTCACTTTGGCTGACTGGCTGGCTGGCTGGCTGGCTGGCTGGCTGGCAGCAAATGTGGGCGCGTAGAAGAACTCTTGTAGAAAGGCAACGGGTGTACGTGTATCTACAGGGCCGTGAAATTTGTCAACCTTAGGGACATGGCTACATGATGTGGGGTTGGCGACATCTGGGCGTCATCCTCGAGCGTAGTAAACTAACGTGAAGGTTTTTCAGTTTTTTCCTATCTTCTACTACAGTTTTGGTCCGATTCTTTTGAAATTGGTGTCGTCGGAAAGATGTTGTAAACGCGCACAACTCCTGCGTGGCGGAATTTTGTTTTTTGTCATAGGGGCGAAATTAACGACCTTTTGCGAGGCGCGCGCGCGCGCGCGTCTTCGAGAAGTAGTCAACTTCGGGCGCCTTTTACTTTCCGTTGCGAACTCACGCGGTTTAACGTTTCGTGAATCTCGAATCGCTGTCTCTCTTTCTCGTGTCGCCAATAGAAGTGAATTGCGGGTGAACGGGACGTCGGAAGTGGGTACCGTAAAGGGAATGTGGTAGCCCGCGACACGATCTCACTGATGGTGGAGTCAAATCTTCAATCGCGAATTGCGGGTGAACGGGACGTCGGAAGGGGGTACCGTCAAAGGATATGTGGTAGCCCCCGACACGATCTTCCTGATGGTGGAGTCAAATCTTCAAACGCGAATTGCGGGTGAACGGGACGTCGGAAGGGGGTACCGTCAAAGGGAATGTGGTAGCCCCGACACGATCTTCCTGATGGTGGAGTCAAATCTTTAAAAGCGAATTGCGGGTGCACGAGGAAAGTGGGAAGCGGTTAGTGAATGTAGTATCCTTCGACAAGATCTGTTATTGATGGTTGAATCGAAAGTGGCTAATAGAATACTGATCTGCCACACAAAAATGCGCTGAAGTCCCTTCGATCTCAAACGAGGACTTTGATAATTTTTTTGGTAACTCATCTCTTAAGTTGGCAGTTACTAGTTAGTACAAGTAGGTACTTCGGTGGGTACTTCCATGTTTGAACTTCAAAATGTCAGTCTTACTACGCTGCCGACCTAAAACTTAACGGCATAAAAAGTGTTCCCAACATAAAACATGTTAGTTCTAATGTTCCCTATAGTTTCTGATAATGATTTTTTTAATTAAATTAAAGCACCGAAATAGAAAAAATAGTATGAAAAACCCGTGTTACAATGCGACCTATTGTAATACTCCTATCTTGCGGACACTCGTGGCTACGCTAGCGTAGCCACTCGTGCCACAAGATAGTCGTATTACAATAGGTCGCATTGTAACACTTGTCTTTCAATATACTATTGTAGAAACTCTGGAAATACTTTCTAGCAGTGTTGTAGATCGCGCAATGAATGGAAATCGTGTTCGAGACAGTCACTTATTGTACGATACATCCAATAATCAGAACAATAAATCGCTAACAGAGTATTCTCAATTTTCCCTTAATTTGGTGTCGATTGAACTCAAATATCCAAATGATTCTTCAAATTCCTCCAAGTGTAATTAGTATAAATTTCATTTGGACCCAACCTTCTTTTACAACTTTGTTATAAAGAAGCTAGACATAAAGTAGTGTTTATTCCGAAAGTCTCGCATAATTTTTCATTACTTGCCACAATTTGAACTTACCTTACAATCAACTTATTAAAAAGTAACAAGGGCAATAAAGTAGATTCCGTCCTAGAAATTCAAAACGTGCAATGTCAGATATTTTAAGTTCGATTGTTGTAGTAAACGAGAAACCACTTCGCAGCAAAATTATTTTCCACTATATTTGCTAACTTTCAAACAAGAATAGTGTGTTTTTATTAACGATCCTCGAGATCGTTTATAATTTTGTATTGCTGTCTGTCTGTCTGCCTGTCTGTCCGTCCGTCTGTCCGTGTGCACGATAACTTTGTGTAGAAACGTCCGATTGCTTTGAAAATTGATACACATGTTTTTCAGGATAAAGGTCGCTAATGCATTTCGGCTATGTAGACAATTAGATGAATCCTATGGAGATGTAGTTGTCTGCAAAGGACGGCATTTATTGAGAGCATTTATGACAAACGCGAATCGCAATCAAGGCAAAAATACAGTTTGATATGTAAGGGTTGCCCTTGTGAATGTAGATGTAATTGGAACTCACTTTTTTTGGACAACAGTAGATCATTTTATGTGATTTACGACTGACTTTTTGCCGTCATTTCCGGCGTATTGGATAGATATAAGATATAATATTAAGTGTAAGAAAAGGGGGTGCACAATATCGGTGGTGGTCCAAAATGTTTGTTATATAGCTATAGTTAATTTGAAATTCCAATTCATTTCAACTGGGATTCTCAAATAAATATTGTTTTCGGTGTTTTATCCCTTCTTCACACTTGCTCCTATGTATAGTAATAATTTCGGCCTCTTGAAATTCCTAACTGCTGCGTTTTAACACAAAACCGAATTTCTAAGATATAATCCATTTTGAAAGCTCATTATGAGGCAAAAAAATCTATTCTGCTATTCCGGTCCCATTCAAATTTAGTTCCGCCATCACTTATTCACAGTCACGGTATAGCAAGTCACCTTCCTCTTTAATTTAGAGGGACAAGCTTACAATAAAGCAAAACGCGTTTTCTTTCCAACTTCACATTTTAACTTATAGTATAATAAATCATTTATCACGTTTGTAAATTTTCTCGAGAAGTTAGAAGAAGTTTGTTTCATACCGCAAGATAAAATCGGGTCACTTGGTTTTGAGTCCTGTATAAGAATTTATAGTTGTCACTTTTTGTCATTTGCGACGCGCACGTTGAGTTTCATTTAATCAAACTTTATGATGGATTTAATTTGTGAATTTTTTTAGAAGGCTGTTTTTTCTTTCAGTCACAATATTAGGGTTATAACAGTTTTTGTTACTTCACATTATCCTTCACATGTAGAGGTCGCCGTGCTGTCATCGCCCAACATCAGTCACGTGTTAGTACTTTGCGGCTGTTTTTGTATTTGCGAGCGACCTAATCATGTCAGTTTTTTAGCATTGGAAATGCTTATGCTATGTATGGGTATGAAGTTACTGGTTAGTCGAGCAGAAAAGAAGAAAATTGGTGTCGCATCAAGTGATGATTGTCCCGTACTTGACTGCAATCGGTAGATTCAGGAAAAGTCGCGGATACTGTCGATACGGTACGTTTTGTTAATTCGAATCTAAATTTATCGCACATCGCCAGTGATGGTATTACACGCATGTTACGACGCTTATTATTTAGAAAGTTTACGTTTGCGACACGAGCGAGCTTGCGAGCGAGTGGAGCAAGTAATACCGTATGAATAAGGGTTATTTGTGTTTTACATATGGCGTTGTACGTTTATTCTTTCCAATGCCTCCGATGGTTGAAAGTATTGCGAGATGAATTTTTTTTAAGATATTTACGCTTATTAAGATGACACCTACTGTATATTTTGTTTTCGGATCTACAGTTCGAGATACTCCATTTTTCAACTCTACGCTTGACACCTCTCTTGTTCAATTTGTATTGATGTATTATTTAGAACGTTTGACAGGATGGATGCTTGGTAAATCAATACGAAAGGAAATAGAACAGAAAGAAGTTTTCTAGTATCATCACTTTAGAGATTGAAGTAAGTAGTGCAAATTGTTATTGATCTGATCGAGGGGAACGGTGCAGCCGCCGATTGATTTTTTCTACAATGAAAGAGCTTCCTTTTATTCTATAAATAGCACACGTAATTACATATGATTGTTTTAACGTAGATATGATTAAGGCGCGGTAGCCGAGTGGTTCAGATAGATGGACCCATGGTTCTAATGCAAAGATCGATGGTTCGAATCCCCGCGTCTACAAATTTACCGCAATCCAAATTATATCAAGCTCATGAGAGGTACGGCTGAATATCAAGCCCATGAGAAGCATAACTGTCAAAAATATGAGCACCCTAATTCATAAAATAACTCGCCCTGAAATACCTCGAGGCAAACGGAAAGACACGGCTCATTCATCTATATCAGTCGATAAGATATACCTTGTAGTGCGTAGTACCGGTAGCAAATTTCCGTTCCCTATACAAGATGGTGATCGGTGGCACCAAGATATATAGAGACTGGTAGGCGCGCTTATACCTGTAAAATTTGACGCCAAATCCGGCGCTAGGTAAACTCAATGCATAGATGGCGCCAGGGTGATCAGTGTACTTCAACCACAGACAACATATACTACAGACGGTCAATCTTAAGGGGAAAAAGCACGCTAAGTTTTGTTTCAAATGTCCCCTTATTTAAAAACCTGCTATCCCTCGATTTTGCTCCATCTATTAGCGCATACAACAATGTGTTGGTTCTTCTACAGATTTCTTTTATTGGAATGGTTTTGCAAATTGTCTAGGGAAAGAAGTATTGATACTTTATTGTTAGAAAGCTGTCCCACAAGAAATCCCCATAATTTACATCTGAGGCGAAGTGCTGATAATCTTTGCAGGTACACATCACATACAAAGCAAATATCACTTTATATTCGCAATTACGTATTACTCGTTGTCTTTGGGTGCATAAGAAACGATATATCTAACTTGCACCACTTTTCGAATTCTCGAAAAAAGTTTATCTCCGTGTTTGTTTATATACCTACGTACTCTACTTGCCTACTTGTCTCTCCGTTTGTGGAATAAATCTTGCAATCAGCAATTTAACTTCATTTAACTTGGAGAAAACCTAAACGTAAGCAAATTTTCGAATGATTATTTGCATCATATCCATATGTAATAAATCCCATTTGAGGTGTGCAATTATCGGTCAATTACAGCGGTAATTGCATTGTAGAAAACGAAAGAGCCCTGCGATAATTGCACATTTCATGGGAATACACTTATATGTGGCAATGCAATCAATGTGAATTGCCTGCAGATGCAGAACCTGCTCGAGAAGCGGATGGAAATAGGTCACAAACCATGTCAATAAGTGAGAAACTCGATTACTTAATCGGAATACAGAAGGAAACAAAAGAAACGGTAGCTCAATTAACAAGAAAACTTGATGAAGTCATAGCCGAAAATTCGGAAAACAAGAATAAAATAATTAGACTGGAAAAGGAAATCGAGAGTTTGAAGAAGGAGGTGAATCCTGAGCATATTATCACAGATTTAAGTATATTTAAATCTGTGATATTATTAATGAAATAAACGAGCGTTCTATTCGACAGAAAAATGTTGTTGTTTTTGGTCTACAAGAAAGTGTCAAAGAAGCTTTACCCGAACGTAAAGCGGATGATAACCGTCAAGTACAGGAGATCATACAGCACATCAATCCCGAATGTGACACTCAGAATTTATCAATTTTCCGTCTTGGAATTGCTAATTCTAACCGCACACAACCTCGACCATTAAAAATTATATTTAAATCTAATGAAGAGCAGAAGAGCATTCTAAGAAACAAACTGAAACTAAAACTAACGCAACCTACTCGCATATCACAATTAGCAACGACCAAACACCTAATGAGCGTGATTACCTAAAAAAATGCGCGAGGAACTCGATCAAAGAAAATCCCGTGGTGAGAAAAATTTAACAATACGGTATGTGCGCGGACTGCCTAAAATTGTAACCGATCCTCATTCATGGATATTTTTAATGAAGTGGGATTTCACCAGTTAATAAAGGAACCGACTCGAATAACACCCACCTCAAGTACTTTAATTGACTTAATGTTTACGTTATGTCCTGAAAAGATTAGCAACATACACCATCTGTGCCCTCTTGGAACGGCGGACCATGATGTTATCGCGTTTGATTATGCTGTTGGTTGCGAAGTAATAAAAACCTCTAATATGGTAATTCGTTACAGAGACATAAAGAGTATCGATCATGTGGCGTTTAGCCATGTAGCCTCTATGTTAAATTGGCAGGATGTTAACTTTTTCGATAATGTCGATGACAAATTAAATTTCCTATACTCCCTAATTAATAATTTACTTAATATTTTTGCACCAATAAAAACGATGATTACGAAGAAAAAGTATAGTCCATGGTTAACTAAGAAAATACGTAGGCAGATTCGAAGAAAGAATAATGCTTGGTGTCGATTCCGTTCTACCAGGTCTCAAGCTGATTGGGTATTTTATAAAAACTTGCTCAAAGATACAAAACGTATGATTAATACTGAAAAAAGGATTCAAATGAATCATTTTGTGAATCATAATGCATCTAACCCTCGTACTCTGTGGTCTGGACTGCGTAACATGCAGATTATAGACAGAAAAATTTCACATTCAACGACACATGCATTGTCAGATCCGAATACCGTTAATAAATACTTTAACCAAAGTGTACATCACGGAAACGCATTTACACCATCAAACCTTAATGTTGCCGAAAATCGCATTGCTATAAGTATGAAAAATTTTGATCTTAGTTCTGTCACTAGTTGGCAGGTTTTGGATGCAGTTCAGTCATTGAGTAAGTCATCAAAAGGCAACGACAACATATCGATGGACGAAATTAAACTATGTATTCCGTTTTGCATAAATGCTCTCACTGATGTGATTAACTTCTCGTTGTATAGCGGTACCGTGCCCTCAGCGTGGAAAACTTCAATTATCAGCCCGATCCCCAAGGTGACACACGCTGTAAGCATTGAACAGTACAGGCCTATTAGCATACTTCCGGCCATGTCGAAGATTCTAGAAAGAATAGTCCATAAGCAAGTCGATGCGCACCTAGAAGAGGGAAATCTGTATTACGAGAAACAATCTGGTTTCAGAAAAGATCATAGTACAACTACGGCGCTGCTTCATACCATAAGTACGCTGAAGCGCAACATCGATCGTGGTGAAGTTACATTGTTGTGTTTGCTAGATTTCTCTAAAGCCTTCGACACTGTTAATCACTCTACTTTAATTACGAAACTAACATCTCTAGGATTCTCCAGGCGGGCTTCAAACTGGTTTAAAGACTACCTTTGTGATAGAAACCAACGAACGAAAATAGTGACTGATGGTAATATTTTGATTTCTCATTTTAGGTCCCTTGCTATTCAATACATATGTTTCTGATCTTCACCGATACATCTCAATGAACATATTAATCAACTAAACTGTGACTTAATGGTTATTTATGAGTGGGCAACACTAAATAATCTTAAACTGAACCCTGCTAAAACTATAATCATCCCAGTCGGTACCAAAAAAGGCATACACAGATTTTTTCAAGAACAAATAACACAAACACAAGCTGTGAAAATAAATGGTGTCTGTGTAGAATTTGCAACCTCTGCGCGAGTCCTTGGTTTAACTCTGGATCGAACTTTAACCTGGGAACCTCACATTAAACTTATCTGCTCAAAATCATCACATCAACTGAGAACCTTATATAAGGCTAAAAATCTTTTGTGTACACACATTAAACTAAAGCTGGTAAAACAATTAATACTACCTCATTTAACATATGGTGATGTGTGTTATCAGGGACTCAAAAAACAATTGTCTTATAAAATACAACAAATTCAAAATCACTGTTTACGTTTTGCGTGTAATCTTAAACGTAGTGATCATATACAACCTATACTTAAACATCATAATATGCTAAATATGAGAACTAATCGAATATACCACATGCTAAGAGTTTTGCATAAAATCATTCTTAATCGAATACCGCTTTATCTCTACACAAACTTCCGGGCACTCAGTAGTTTCCATTGTTACGGTACTAGGACTTCAAATATTTATATTCCTAAGGCTCAGACAAGCATTGGAGCATCGTCCTTTTATATACAAGCGGCCAAATTGTGGAACAAGCTGCCAGAAGATGTTAGACACACCAGGTCCTGTAATGGTTTCGATCGCACGTTTTTTGTTTGTTGCAGGACTCTGAACATGTTTTTTTGATGTTTAATGTGTAAATTTATACGTAGAGAGCTATTATGTTTTCGTTTTTCTTGTTATACTGTTTTACTTACTTTTTACTTTTTTTTTTGTTATATTTACTTTGTATTTCATAATATTGTTAACTTGTTTTGTTATATCTGATGCGACCAAGTTTGTAGAGGGGGGATACTAATGGCCCTATGGCTTCTCCTATCCCTTAATAAATTTATATTATTATTATTATACACTTTAACAATTTTATAAGTAGGTAAGGCGAGTTTGTAATGTTTATTCGGGAAATATTCCCCCGAATTACACTCGTGCATCAAAATAAACCTGATAATTTTTAGCGCATTTTCCAACGAAGTTGGGTGCGCTATTGCAGCCACTTTCTCTGTCCGTCCGTCTGTCCGAGGTCTTAACTATACTTCTACAGTTTTCAAGATATTTAGTTCGTTCTTTTTGCATTCGGTAGCGTATCGCTCTGGCACCTGAGTCAAAGAAAATCTTGACGATTGAAGCTGCGCAATGTTAACTTTTTTATTTATTAATATATTTTGTTGAAATTTTAATCACAGATACTTGTAGTAAAGGCAAATATATCGCATATAGTAAAAATCAGATGTGCACATGCGCAGAATGCGCAATGCAAACTTTCTTATTTATGGAGATATTTCTTTGAAATTTTAACCAAAGATACTTATAGTAAAAGCAAACGTATTGCATATGGTAAATATGAGATTAATAAGCGCATGCGCAGGACGCGCAATATCAACTACGCAGTAAGTGTCAACTTCCTTATTTATGAAGATATTTCTTTAAAATTTTAACCATATATGCGTCTAGTAATCAAAAACGTAGCGCACATAGGTATGGCCTTTGGAGAAGTATTGATCAATTTATGGAAAATGCGCTGAAGTTACACTTCATAATTTGTTAAAAGAGCATTTTGATGCACTTGTGCAATTACCTACGAAAATTGTCACAAAGCAAAGTTTTAATAGCGATCCTCGAGATGGTTTATAGTTTTGTATCTATTACTGTCTGCCGGTTTAGTGTGTTGTCACTTCACTCAACGAAAACATGTGTATTGTATGCAAAAAAAATCCCCTGAATCCGTAAATGACAGTCTAGCTGACCGGAAACTCCGGGAACATATTTCTATACACAAGAAAACGAAGAAAAGATGGGAAAATATCGTTTTTTCGCATTTGACTTAATTAGGTATCTCGTATTCTTGTTAACTATTCCTCTTACGGAAAAAATGAAGAGAACGATTTGCTTAGAATCGATTTTTCTATCAGATACAGTTGGTATGATTTTTATTAAACAGAGTGCCAAGGGCCTATTATAAAGTTACTTTCTTGTTCTATTTCTGGGGTTTCCACTAAACAGGCCACTAAACTAATTCCACAGTCCGTCGATTTGCAAAACTCATCGGGACAACAGGAATAGGTTGTTTTACGGTTCCACCATCCATAAAAATATTGAAAACGCTATGGGAGTCATCCAGTTTGAAGGACAAACCATCGAGAAGGGCGTATCAACAAAAACAAATGGTAATTTTTGGGATTACTTTTTTGTATTTTTCCAGAAAAAAACAATAACATTTAAAAATGAACGGTTCTGTACCAACAGAAAATTCGATTCTATGAGCTCGAGCAATAGTTGACGAGATAATATGGGAAGTCAAATGTGAAAAAAACTGCATTTTTCCATTTTTTCTTGTTTTTTTTTTGTATAGCAATATATTCCGGGAGTTTCCGGACAGGGAACTACATAAAATACACTTGGTTTCGTTGTGTGAAATGCCAACATCCAGTTTAGAATACTTTTGGAACTAATTTGACTGGACTATGTTGACCCTACACATTGACATAAAATAAAGTTCGTTAAGCGCTCTCTCCCCTAATCAAAAAATGTTGTGATGGTATTATCACAGATACATATAGGTAGGCAAGGCCGTGCGAGGGGGAGGGGCGAGGGGGGCCAGGCCCTGGACGCCAAGTCTGGGGGGCGCTGAAGTCGCCCGTCGTCGCCTTTGTCGGGAGCGTCAAAGGCGTGAGTGAAAGATTTACCTCGAATTATACAGGGTGACAATTTGAAAACTTACCACCCCCCACATCTTAGTAAATAAACGAGATATTAAAAAAAATCAAAATCCGTTTCGGTAATTCGGAGGGGGAATCACAATGACATAGTTGGCGACGCACCCCCTCACACCCCCTGCGCCCCAGCCACCCCAACTTTTAAATCTTAAATAGTGACCCCCCCATGTGTGATACGTCGTTGAAAAGCTCTGAAAAAATGCTTTCCAACCATACCAAATAGCATTACATATAGGTAGGCAAGGCCGTGCGAGGGGGAGGGGCGAGGGGGGCCAGGCCCTGGACGCCAAGTCTGGGGGGCGCTGAAGTCGCCCGTCGTCGCCTTTGTCGGGAGCGTCAAAGGCGTGAGTGAAAGATTTACCTCGAATTATACAGGGTGACAATTTGAAAACTTACCACCCCCCACATCTTAGTAAATAAACGAGATATTAAAAAAAATCAAAATCCGTTTCGGTAATTCGGAGGGGGAATCACAATGACATAGTTGGCGACGCACCCCCTCACACCCCCTGCGCCCCAGCCACCCCAACTTTTAAATCTTAAATAGTGACCCCCCCATGTGTGATACGTCGTTGAAAAGCTCTGAAAAAATGCTTTCCAACCATACCAAATAGCATTACATTTAGGTTAGTAATTATCGTGCAAATCAAAAAATAAACTAATATAATACATTTGAAATCTGTCGTATTTAAAACGCAACCGGCGAACATAGACGAACTAAGACAGAGAATAATTCAAGAATGTCGAAATATTGCAAAACCAACATTGGAAAGGTTCGACAACAGTTTGACAATAGATTATAACTGGCGATCAAAAATGAGTTGCTGTCGAGTCGGCTTTGGAAGTTCAAGTTAAATACGATTTTCCATGTTTATTTTTTGATTTGCACGATAATTACTAACCTAAATGTAATGCTATTTGATATGGTTGGAAAGCATTTTTTCAGAGCTTTCCACTGACGTATCACACATGGGGAGTCACTATTTAAGATTTAAAAGTTGGGGTGGCTAGGGCGCAGGGGGTGTGAGGGGGTGCGTCGCCAACTATGTCATTGTGATTCCCCCTCCGAATTACCGAACCGGATTTTGATTTTTTTAAATATCTCGTTTATTTACTAAGATATGGGGGGTGGTAAGTTTTCAAATTGTCACCCTGTATAAACGAATCCGTACATACTCTTGTTTCGTATTTTATAAATTCAGAATCAGTAAATAGTATATTAAGATACAAGTGTATACTCAAGTCTTTAAAGCACGCGCAACGAGTTTAAGGGCACGACGCAAAGCGGAGTGCCTTTAACGTTGCAAGTGCTTTAAAGACTAATTATACACGTGTATCTTATAGTATTTTTAATTATACCTGCAGTATAATTTAAAAATAGGGAATACAATGAAGTCATATTGACGTTATACTCGAATACGTGTCTAATTAAGTGGGCTGGGTGTTCGTAATTTCACGATTGCCATGTAAATGTCACTTGACGTTTGCTTATAAAAATCATCGTCTTTGTGAATTAAACGATTTCCGTTGAAAAAGATAATACACCGCCCATTAAATCGATTGTTGTAAAATCTAAACAAACGTTGATAGGTGTAAAATCCAACTCCAGTAAAGCCTATTATAAAGAATATGAAAAGTTGTTTCCATGGATGAATAGGAAGTTACTTACGAATACAGTCTTAAATGCATCCATAATGCTGGCATATATGAAGGAAATGTCCAAGGTATTTAAATCTTCTATATTTTGGTGCATTCATTCAAAACTTTAAAGCAGTGCTGCGATTAAAAAGTGGAACAGATTTGGAAGCATACCCTAAATTACCCGCGTTTGTGAAAGCTTCAACCAAAGGATAGGTACAAAAGCCAAAGAAATGTTCTGCATTTACAGAAAGTGACCTAAGAGGATTTTTTATTTCATCCAGATGACAGTTTCAAAAGTCATACTTGAAGTATCGTTACTTAGCAACTTTAAAGCACGTGTGTTTTAAAGGCCCTTTTTCGCACGCATTTGAGTATTTAAAACGGAGATTGTGATTCAGGTATAATAAAAAATTAAAAAATTAAAAACTGTCGCGTTTATAAAGTCGGTAATTCCATGGAGTTAGGAAATCGAACAAAAGCGCTTGCATTTTGATCTCAAATTGCCAGGGCACCACTGATTTTCTTAAAAGCGCCAGTTTTTAATTATCCAATTTCTTGGATTCAAAGTTCAGAAAATTAAAAGCTATAGTATGCATGGATTCGTAATTTTTTTCTCTACAGAAAACCTAAATAGACTTTCTCTCTAAAATAATTAGAGAAGTCAATAATCAGAAATGAAAAAATTACTATTGCAATTCCTATGGTGCGTTGTTCAAGTCACCACCCGGTATAATATATTTATTATGGAAAAACAAAAATTATGTTTATTATTCTAATAAAATCTTTCCTTGTCCAACCTCATAATTTTATATGTGAAGGCCAAATTTAGTTTCCGCCCTTGTATAACCAAACCCGCTCCATCAATTTTTTAAATGTTTAGAAAAGAGAAAAATGAAGAATTAAAATGTATCCTATTTCATGTAATTTATGATGTTATACAAGTGAGCGCTTATCTTATCTACGGAAAGGCCGGTGTTCAAGTCGAGGAAATAAGGTTTGAGTATATGTATTTTATTTTTACAAAAATGACTCCATCTATTTATTACACACTTTTACCACACACAACAGTTTTCTGTGCGTCTACCACATTTTACAACAATTTATTTCGACTGCTTCAAGGTAGACAACACACTAGCCGTACTTTATTAGGTGTTGCGTTTATTTCTACAGCATTGCATTGACCGTCTGTAGTATAAATGTTGTCTGTGCTTCAACTTAATGTCATTTAAATTGTTTTAGGTTATGATGTTATGTACAAAAATTTGTTACTTAGCGACTTGGGATGGTTTGGCATCTACAGTGTGTTATACCTAGTTATTGTTGCAAACAATTTCGGTAAATAAAATAGACAAGTACTAATTGGATGTATAAGCAAGCAAACTTGCACATCGCACTGTTCACTTTGCTAAAGTTCAAAGTTACAGAGCATTGAGGGGTTCCACTAAAAAGGATGCTCGTTATCACAGTAAATAGTAGCGCAATACCTGCATTACAGACTTCTCACCCCGCCTAGCTGTCGGAGTTTGTACTGGATCAAGCGATGTCAACAAGTCATTGATCAATGTAAACCATATGTGAACAAACCAGGAGCCGCCCTTCTTATATTAAGATAAGCATCAAATGACCCTCACCTACACAATCTACGGTGTAAGCAATCATGCCGAGAGCTGTAAGAACCTCTTGACACAAAATCATTATTGCCCGTTTGATTAGCGAGATTCTCGGCTGCTGAGATGGGGATTGAAGGAACTGGCAAAAGTCTACATTATTACTGTTAAGATGGAAGGTAGGGGACCCGACTTGTTGAACCTACCTTGTTATTTTATAACTTAATCTCGGAAGCTCTCAGGATCTAAATGCTGGATAGAAGGGGACTAGTGCAATAATTTTAACCAACTTCTGTTCCAGGAGTGTGGCAGTGCTAGAGGCTGAACTACAAAACGGAAGTAGGAAAATGTGGCTTATCCTAACCTTAGTCATCTTCCCATTTAACGCCTCTGCAAAACGACCAACTTCGGACTTCAGAAGAATGACAGATCACTGCGTAGGCAACGACGTGGAATTGTATTAGGTGTCGATGCTAACGATGTGTGGGGAAATACAACTACACTACACTTCTGCACAGCTTCCTTGCCTTGGGTCTCATGCCGAGTACAATTACTTAGTGGTCGCTCTCCTACTTTCCATGGAAATTTAAAATACAGATGCGTTAAAACATAGACCCTTTTTCCATATTATTATCAGGGAAACTGCCTGTTACATTTTTTACAAATATTTACAAATAAATTTTCTATAAACAACGTCAACAATTTAATGAGACCAATTTTGCTAGTTACGCATATTTTTAAGAAGCTGCGCGTTATGACAATCTACAAAACAAGAATTGTAATTATTGCATTTACACTAAGTAGGTAAATTATTTTGACTAAAAAAAAGTCGAAATGCTTCAATTACATACTGAAGGAACTTGAAGTAAAGATGTATCACGAGTTAAGGGCGTATTGTGGTCTCAAACACTTTCTCATATTTGATGGTTTAATTCAAATTTAAATGACGTGTTTGAATAAATTGACAGTTTTGTGAAGTACACTGGGATGGGTGGCGACATCTAGGGAGCGATTTTAACTGGCGCCGCATTCTGTCTTACATAATGGCGGCGAGTCATCCTACCAAATTAATATATCTTGGGTGGCACAAACTCGTATAGGATATGGAAGTAGTCCTATCCGATTTCGTGATCGTGATCAATTATGTGTAATGTAAACATTGCACTATCCTCATTTGCATTTTCAAAACATTGGAACCAAGTAATAAAGGGCATTTTGGATACAGACAAAAAATAATGAAAAGTATGAAATATTTTACGATTTTTTTGGATCTTAGTAATTCCGTTGGACAATCCAGTTTGATTTTGTAACTTTTGAAAATCTTTGATCCAGTGAACTGCATCTACTTCGCAAAATTCGGGTCTAAATTTTGTTCCCAGTTCTACATTTTTCTTTGCGTCTTCTTCACTTCACTTCTTTTATAACTTGACACTGTTTATCAAATATGCTATATTCCGCTAGCAAATCACGAAATCGGATAGGATATGTAAAAACATTCACTACTTCCATATCCTATACGAGTTCGTGCAACCGATCTTGTATAGGGAACGGAAATTTGCGACCCGGGCTGCCGAAAAAAGGAACGAAACTAATTGGGCGAAAAAACATGAACAGACAAAAAAAGATTCCGCAGTCCCACACCCTGAGAGCCAATACCAACACCGGCTGTCGAAATAAGTCGATTAGGTTGAAAGAGGTGGTAAAGATTCCCACACAACTCCCGAAATCCCACACCTCGGCTGCCCGGACCAACGCCACTCCAAAATACCACACCCTGGCTGCCTAACTATCAAAATGGGACCAACGACATCCCAAAAAAAAACTCCAGACTGTGAGCCCGGGACGCGCATGCGCGCAAGACAGACGTGATCCAAAAATGACCGAAATTGACCTTAGAATTGCTTATGGGAAATAACATGGAATTTTGACCAACGTTGCACCAGAACTCTCATAGCCTATCTACTAAAATCTCTGACTATTAATCCCCTTATGTGTTAATCTGGAACTTACAACAAAACTGTCAAGTTGTACAACTAACGTTATTAGACGGAAATATAATGAGTTGAAGAAAACTGTAGCCGAGACAAATTGGGTGAAAATGATACATACAGATGTCAACAAATTGGCCAACAGTACGACGTTAATACCTGCCAAAGTGTGATACAGGAAGAATTAAATAAAGTCTGCAAATGGATGCATAATTATAAACTCTTCACCAATCCAGAAAAAACTAAAGCGATGTTATTCCACACTTCACATATGCAAAAAGTAAGCAAACCAAGAATTATTATGCATATATTGTCATTGCATTTCGGTCACAGCAAGGTATGCAGTTGCAGTACCATAGAAATAGTGAACGATATTAAATATTTGGGACCCATAATCGACTCATCACTTACATACGATAAGCACATACAATATCTATACACTCAAAGATAAAGAAAATATCAGGAAGCTTTATTTACTGAGCAGATTTGCCAATAAAAAAACCATGGAAATAGTTTACAAAGCACTAATTGAGGGGATATGCATCTGAGCAATCATACGTAAAAAACTCAACTCGCTCCAATTACGACTTCTCAAGCTAATTCTTGGCAATAATCACCTGCAAACACATGATTTGCTGCAATATACAAATACGTTAACATCAACCGGATTTTACAAGTACCTTCATTTGCTGAAGCACTTTGATGTCAACGAATTCAAAATACCCTTACCGCATTCGTATGGAACTAGAAGAACCATGTGCGCAGTGCCCTATTGCTACAACAAATACGGAAAAAGGAGATTAGAATTTACCACACTAACACTGTATAATTCCTTACCTAGAGATATCCTCAACATCCAACAAATTGGAACCTTCAAAAAAGAAGTGAGAAAATGGCTCATACAAGGGAAGGGACCTGAAATCAAATATGACCTATTCATTGCTTTGATTACACGAAATTTTAAAGCGGGAGACACATATCTTGTGATCAATATTTCTGTGTAACATTCAATAATTGTAAAAAATTGTATACCTACTTACTTTATTATAAAGGAACCAAACGATAAGTTTATCCTAAACTTGGTTGGACCTCTAACATTTGGAAATGAGTAATAATAAACATTTCAAACATTATTATTATTATCTCTAAGCACATACATTAATACAGACGGAAAAAAATTTATTCTTTAAAATTTTACTTAAAATAATCTAAAACGTCGACATTTGATGAAATTTTAACATATGTATCTAAAAAATAGTGATCGCAATAGCCACCTAACACGAGCTAGGAAGCTAAAAGTCATGGGAACTCTTAGATATTCAAAAGCATCTTCACTTTAAAATTCAGTCGTATATATGGTTCGCTGCGAATTGTTCCCGGCTAACAGGGACGGGTCTAGACAAACAAAATTGGGGGGCGTAAATCAAATTTTGCCAACTCAACTGTAAAAATTTCCAACTCAAACGGGTAATACCCATCTAGTAAGTGGTAGTATAGAATTAAATAAATAATTTGTAAATTTGACACTTTTATTACAAACTGCTCGACAAACTGTGAAAACTGATATAGAAAAAAAGTGAAACAGTTTTTGCACTCCGCTGTTTCTGAAGAGCCAGTTTTCTTACGCATTTTCCAACGAAAACCTATCCGCTGTCATTCCTTTTCCCTATAGATGAATTGTAAGATCATTAACATTTATAATCGCCAACTGGTAATGAAATTTTCCAACTCTTCTTACCTTAGGCATTGGAGAGCCAGTCTCCCATGCTCCCCTGTCGGCGAATTGTGCCGCGTCGAATCGTACTCTGAGGCAAATATTTTACAGCGAATCGTTGCCGGCGGATTGACTCCCGGTGAATTGTACCCGACCCTTGGTCAAAGAGCTAAGGAATAAAGAGCGTATATAGGTAATAGGTATATAGTGGCCGAGTTTAATCGTAAAAGTTGTCTTTCTAATTTAAAAACCTCTTGGGTAGTTCTGGTAGAAAGTAGGTACGTTTTTTTTGTATGCTTCAAAAGTTCGTATCCGTTAAATCTTCCTCTAGTAATTATGTGATCAATGATCACCTAATCTCAAATGACGGTAACACACCCTTCTAGTGTGCGTAGGTGGTTAATCTGCTACGTCTTTAAAAACAAAGCAAGCAATTTAACTTTACTCTATAGGTCGCAATTGATCTATTGAATTTCCAAAGTAAGAATGAAAAACATTTAACCGTCTCCGAAGTAAAATAGTTACAATCATTCATTTGTTTTCTTGTTTTAAGTAACTTAGCTTGTCGGGCAATTCCCGACATTTATTTGTGCTTATTTATTAATGGTCGACCTCAAACCGCTTGAAATTAGTTTGCAATAATTAGCATTAATGAAAAAGTACCGCAGAAAATCTAATTGTAAATGTAGGTACGTTAGCTGTATCGCCCGTATATGTACCTATGGCTGCAATGCGAGATAAATTTATAGAGCCCTTGTTCTTGTATTGAGATAAGGATTGAGATGACGTTCTCTACAAATCTCTATTTACAGGAGTAGAACATTTTAAAACGATGTACCTAGTTAACGAAGCTTTATTAAGCCAACAAACTTCGATTGAAAATTAACTGAGATTATCGAGTTATAATATCGAGGACGCTTCTCTTAATGCCCAAGTTCAAAATTTATGAAGAAGATGAGAATGAAGAAAGATCTAAATTGGTTTGTTTATAAACGATGAGTGAAAATTTCGGTTTTCGCCTATGTTAATTGCAAGTTACCAATAAATCTCACAAGAAAGAAAAATGGTTAAAGTTTAGGTAATTGTCGTCCGCCATTTTAAAAGTCGATTCGCGTGACAACATGAAAATATAAATAAATCGTATGTACCTATGGGTATGTCACGTTTTATTTCGTAATAAAAGATTTAATGGTTTTTTGACGCGTTATTCTTCAAAATGACCAGAAATACTTTTGCGAATTGCAACTCGGAAGCAAAATTCAATAAACAATTATGTGTAAAGTAAATTGCGCAAAATAAAAACGTCGCCGAGTGCACACCTAATGAAAGTTACCCCTTTAGATGTTATCTTTGTTTAGAAAGTAAACAACTTGATCTTTCGTCCCATTACTTTTTGAGACAGTCGCGGAAGTACTAAATTTGGCCGTCTCTTTATCAACATTCTGCATCGGAAAAGTCGGAAGAAGTTAATTTCGTGTTTGAAATAGTTATATTGTTCAAGCATCAACCCGAAATATTTTTCAACTGTTATAGCATTGTCTTGCCTATTTTAGTCGAAAGTATTTACCTCTTCCACATTTAAACTTTCAAATGCGACTTGGGGGTCATGGCCATCAGTATTCTTTTAACCGTGGTTAACTGTGCTCTGTGCGCCGATATTGTTGGTTGTTGGTGGACTTCATTTAAAGAATGATTAGGTACTTATGTTATTTATAAATGGTAGTGTTAACAGTATACAATGACATGTACGCGTTGTACTTCATTGTCATCGGATTTGCAACTGTGTCTTCTAACAACTTAGGTAACGTAAACATTCCATTTACAAAATTGCCACAGCTTTATTTTCTATTTTGAACTCTTTTGAAACTAAAAGAAAAACACATATTTGTATCCTTGGTATAACAATTGAATAAAGATTCAGATTTATTATTCAATGCTATAACAGAATACACCTACGCTCTTACATTTTAGAGGTACAAAATTAGCTCCACTCCTCATAACAATATACTTGGTTATTTGCCAATAAAAAAAGTTTAATGTTATTTTTACATACTGTCAACTGAATTTATAGCACTATCAACAACAGTAAATCAACGAACGATAATGTAAGAGGACTATCAAAGTAGGTATAGCTAAAAATTATTTACATAATAGGGACTATTTGAATTAAGCCTAATTATCCACTAAGTACTAAATGACTAATATTACTGTTTTATTGTTTTACGGATTTATTACGTATATAATTGGTGAAGTATACGGGGTGTTTTTTTGGGAGCTTTAGTTAAAAGTTTCTGGGAAAGTAAAATAGGTAGGATTTTGAAAATTTGTACTTAGGAGTTACTCTGAAGGCCGAATCGATGTAAAATATTTTCAAAATGGCCGCACTTCCGGAAACACCGGAAGTAGATAGTAACTTCGTTATTTTGCATTTTTGGATTCTACGTGAAATTTCAGTTCTTTTGATACCCATATGTCATATCTGCCATTTATGGTTTTTAAGTTATTTTGACTTTAAGAAAAAAAAATGGCGGATGCAGATGGTTCCTTGATAATTGATTACTTGAAAAAGGTTATAGTCATGGCAACCCATTTTTATCAGTGCATAGAGAATGAATAGGGCTTTCTTTTACTGTACTTAAAACAAAGTTAAGTTGCGAACAACCGCACCTATGGAGATCCAAATTTAAGAAACTTCAAAGTCTATAAACTCAGTTTTTTTAAATGGAATGACCATGTTCTTAATATTACATGAGATAGAGAATCGAAATTGGCATATTTTGATATTACATGTTCCTATAGCTATCTTTAACAGTTTCTGATTTATTCGCATTTCATTGAATTGATCTCGGAATTGATGCCATTTTTTTTCGCATTTTCTTTTTAGTAGTTGGCCATGATTTTATAACAATCGAATTTTAAACAAATCAAGGAATGGAGTCTTTAATACCATTGATTCTAGTTCTAGTCTAAATAATTCATTAATAAATAACTCATTTAATAAGGATATAGGACAGAAAATTTTTGAAAAATCTAAACAGAGTCGGTCAACTGAATTTCTTAAACAACGTATAAGTCTGGAAATTAAGAGAGGTAATGCGATATCTGTTCTAGCAACAATTCCATACCAAAAATGTTTCAACAATATTTTGCATTGAATTTATTTTGTTAATCTTGCATTTGCAATTCAATTCATTTTCTTAAATATTCTCTTGTAGAGCTTTGTATAACTTGTGCTTCAACGGTTTGTAGTGCATTAGGGGAACAAAATTTCAAAAATTCATACAATTTCGTTCTAGTTTTCGAATGAATGTACGGAAAGCACGCGCCGCGATTCTGCCCATTTCACCATAAATAACAATTAAATTCCAAAATAGGTGCAACCACTGCGAGTCATTTTTCGATTTTTGAAAAACTTATGTTAACCTATAACAGTGGGTGATGGATTAGTGTCACTAGATTTGTTTAAAATTCAATTGTTATAGAATCATGGCCGACTACTAAAAAGAAAATCCTAAAAAAATAGTGTCAATTCAATAAAATGGGAATAAGTCAGAAACTGTTAAAGATAGCTATAGGAACATGTATTGTCAAAATATGCCCATTTCGATTCTCTATCTCATGGAATAGTAAGAACGTGGTCATTCCATTAAAAAAAACTGAGTTTTTAGTCTTTGAAGTTTCATAAATTTGGATATCCATAGGGGCGGTCGTACGCAACTTAACTTTTTTTTAAGTGCACTAAAAGAAAGTCCTATTCATTCTCTATGCACTGATAAAAATAGGTTGCCATGACTACAACCGTTTGCAAGTAATCAATTATCAAGGTACCATCTGCATCCGCCATTTTTTTCTTAAAGTCAAAATAACTTAAAAACCAGAAATGGTAGATATCGACATATGGGTATCAAAAGAAGTGAAATTTCACGTAGAATCCAAAAAAGCAATAAAAAATAGGGGTTGCCATTTAAAATAACGAAGTTACTATCTACTTCCGGTGTTTCCGGAAGTGCGGCAATTTTGAAAATATTTTACATCGATTCAGCCTTCAGAGTAACTCCTAAGTACAAATTTTCAAAAACCTACCTATTTTACTTTCCCAGAAACTTTTAACTAAAGCTCCCAAAAAAACACCCTGTATAAATGGGAGGCGACTTATTTACAGAGAAGAACGTGTCCGTTCATCTCTAAATGAATTTTTTTTACAAATTGGTCCGATTGTATTCATTTGTAGTGTTCTCTAAAAAAAACAGCAGTGCAGGATTATCTTTCAGTTGGGACTTGAACTGCTTTACAAAATTCATCCCATTAAAGTTATAGTGTTCACTTTTCACAGAATTTGTCATATGCAAATGCACATATGTATAATAGCGGTAGCTGTTGAACGAACAATTTCCTGCGGGATTTTTAACAATGGCGTGATATGGAAACCAACATTCAAAGGCAAACATGTTAACCCCCGTTAGCGGTTATGTGTTATTACAACGAAATTAACACTTCATCGATTAAAAGTCTGTGCAATTATACATATGGGGCGGATAAGAAGTCACTAAGTAAAATAGTAAATGCTTTAATCCGAGGGAAGCCTGAGTATGGTAACGTAATATATAACAACGCAGCCAAAAGTCAACTTAGGAAAATCCAGCGTAATACCAGACGTGAGATTACTTCCTAAATCAAATCAATATAGTAGGAACAAACAAGTAAATTGGGTGCGAATAGCCACTGGAGTCTGGACACACCAGAGTAACTCACTCATACCTGTTGTTGAACAAAAGTAAGCCAAAATGCCCTCAATGTCGAGGAGAACTCTCGATACAGCACATAATTGAAGAATGTGAGACCTTACGTGAATATAAAGGAGTACCGCATCACGAATGACATAAAACATAACCTAGCCTAGCAGAAGATACTTTTGGAAACCTATTAAAATACCTGGAAGCTATAGATATTCTGAAAGAGATTAGTATGACTGCTCACCCGCAAGAACATTCAATGACCTTAGCAGTCGAAATTTCTTGCAGCTCAGAGCTATAAAAAAAATTAAAAAAATAAAAAATAACTTTGACTCAACGATATTATACTTAACTATTTCATTTATATCTATGTAAAATTATTTGTAAGTTATCTTTCTGATATTATAGTGTATCTTCTTTCTTTTTATATTGCACTAAAATTAAGTTAGTTTAATCAAAGAGTATATAGGTACACTTTGGTTTAATTTACCTGTACTTGCTGGTGGAGTGGAAAAACAGCTTTGGCTGAACTCCTGCCGTTTGTGTTCTTCACAATAAACATTATTATTATGGTCGGTGTTTCTCTTGTCAGAACTCAGGTCTAGCCTGGCTAACTAATCGCACGGATTAAAATCAAGTAACGGTTAGTGTTTGTCTGTACGTCGTTCGTCTGGTCAACACATAGTTTTCACAAACAGTGGTAAGTTAAGACTCCTAGCACAGTTTTTGCAATTAAATAGGTACAAATCTAACAACATTCTGAATGATGAATTGTTAACAGGAATAGCGTGAATAAAATAATCATTTATTTTATTGATGTCAGATAACATCAGCACTTTTGTAGTTTTTAAGAATCACATCGAAAGCGATAGGAAACCCCTCCGGTTCCTCCAAGGCGATCTACTGTGGAATCTAATTCAGTCCCGAGCGTTCCTTTTGGCCATCAGGTTTTCTGCTTCATTTGCAACCCTGTTTCTTTGTTTACACTTCCTTGTAGTGAGTTCAACACATACATCTTCTGCTTCTCGATGTTTTTTCGATGGTCCGTATATTTAGAGTTTCGCTTTTTTTCGGATAACTAATAATTAATAATTTATAAAATTTGACCTGATTTACTGCCTGTTAATTGGTGAAACACTTTATCTATGTTGATAAAAATAATTGTTCTCTCGAGCGACAATTGGCGTTTGCTTAATCAATTTGTGTAATCGTTGATTCGCCTTACTGCAACTTTCTGTTACAATTAAATGTAATCTCTTCCTTTTCCTTTGCGAAGTCGCAGTGGAAATAGACACAAACGATTGAAAAGGATCCCCTAATTTAATCAAATATGCGTTATTAAATTCAAAGCGTTCTAACCAAACAAACTGTATTGTGAAAACATGGCATTGTGGTTGCTGTGAATGAATTAATTACTTTACCCCAGAATTTGGAAAAAAAGGAACAAATGTTAAATGAAGTGCGGATTGAACAATATGTTGACGGAAACAGCTTCACAATACAACAAGTTAAAAAGTAATCGTAAACGATTTACATAAAGCGCATTTCCACTTGCATTCATTTCCCATTTGTAAGATGCAACTTCTGTTAAATTCGTAAAAATCCGGCCACAAATATGAAAGATAGCGTTGCACATGGGCAATCCATTTTTGACGTGCTACTTCAATTTCAGTTTATAAGAAGAATTTCATTTCAATGCTTTTCTAAATAAGAAAGTTGGAACTGCGCATGCGCAAACCTAAATTTTGAAACTAATGTTAGATTTTCCTTTGTTCCAAGCGCCAAAGAATCAAATTGCACTTAAATGCTTCCATAAATAAAAAAGTTGACACTGCGCATGCGCAAAACCAAATTTTGAAACTGGCGTTAGATTTTCCTTTATTCCAAGTGCCTATGTATCAAATTTCATTCAAATACTTTTATTAGAAAAAAAGTTTGCAATTCGGTTTATAAATGGTCGAGATGCGAAAAGGGCACTGTGAATTTTGAATCGATTCGACTCAACTTTTGGCATTGTGTATTATATGGCTAAGGCTATGCCCATATTGAATTTCATGCAATTCAGTTC